TATATATAAAAATAACTCATAAGTCAATGGTACTGAGACCCAGTAAATACAAGTCTAATTATGGAAACTGACTATTTAAAATACAGCATGTATTCATTTTCTTAAATTTTAAACTAAATACTGCTTTTCAAGGAAGAAGAAGGAGTAACTCACCATCTAGAAAACCATGTTTGGGAACCTTTATTTAATACTCTTTTCTAAAAACCAGAGTTTGACATTAAGACAGGTTGGCCTTGGACTCTTCCCCAATGGGATGAGTTCTGAACATCCCAGAAAGCTGTGGAGAGACAGTTCTCTGTGGGCTTCTCACATTTCAAGCAAGTCTTGTGAGCAGAGGCACTTTGCCTAGCCCTTGGTCCCAAAGATTTTCTCAGATTTTTTTTCCCTAAAGCTTCATAGTTTTACATTTTACGTTTAATAACTTGACTATCTTACATACTTTGAGTAATTTTGGTATATGGTGTGTGGTTTAGGTTGAGGTTTCTTTCTTCTTTCTTCGTCTCCCTCTCTCCCCGCCTCCCATTTTCCCTTCCTACTTCTCTCGTGGATGTCCACTTCCTTCAGCAACATTTTGTTGGAAATGCTGTCTGTCCTCCATTGACAGGCTTTTGCCCTTGCTCAAAAATCAGCTGGGCGTATGCATTTCTGTGCTCTCCAGTCTGTACCATTGATCTTTGTGTCTATCCTCTACCAATATCATACCACCTTTCTTACTGCAGCTAGATAATAAGCCTTAATATCAAGTACAGTTATTCCTCCCACCTCATTCTTTTTAAAGATTGTTTACCTATTCTAGGGCATGTGTTTTTCCATATACAATTATAACATAGAAGTTTATCTAAATCTACAAAAAAAAACTTGCTGGAATTTTGGTAGGTATTGCATTAAGCCCAAAGTCCGTTCAGGCAGAATTGATGTTTTTACTATGTAGAGTCTTCCCATTGATGAACACAGTGTATCTCTTCATTTGGATCTTTTTTGAGATAGATTTTTGATCACTTATTTGATCAAAGAAATTTTTGATCTCTTCATGTATTTAGATTTTCTGTCGTCATTTTATAATTTTTAGGATATGGATCCTGCACATATACCTGTTTCATTTTCTTTGAAACAATTATAATGCTATGATATTTTTATTGTTACTTTTCACATGTTCATTGTTAGTATATAGCAATATGATTTTTTTGTATGTTGACATTTTTATTTTGTGACTTTGCAGACTCATTCATTAATTCTAAGTTTGGGTTTTTTGGTTTTTTATTAATAAATTTCTTGGGATTTTCTATGTAGACAATCATGTTATCTGAAAAGATAATTTTATTTTTTTCTTTCCAATGTGTGTGCCTTTTATTTCTTTTTCTTGCTTTATTTCAGTGGCTAGGACTTCCAGTAAGATGCTGAATAAGAGTGGGTAGGAGTGCACATCCTTGCCTTGGAGTGTAATGTGGAAAATAACATTTCCATTTGGGTCTCTTTACCTTCCCACTTTTAAATGTCTTTGTCTTGAGTATCAGTTGGTGTTATAATCTTTGTTCTAATCAACAAATATAATTTGGAAAACTATGAAAAAGGTAGGCTATTGTATTTACCAATATTTCTGCTCTTTCTACTCTTCATTTTTCCTTCCCATGCTCCAAAGACCCTTCTTATATCATTTCCCTTATTTGAAAAACTTCCTTTAGCCAGTCTTTAAAATGAGAGCTATTAGTGACAATGTTTTTTAGTTTTTCATATCTAAGAATGTTATTTCCCCTTTTTCTCCTAAAAGATCACTTTGCTGTATATAGAACATGCAGTTGACAGTTCTTGGAAAATGTTGTGCCTCTTTTTTCTGGCCCCTGTGGTTTCAGATGAGAAATCCACTGGTATTCAAATTGTTGTTTTCACTGTAGGTAATGTGTTCTTCTCCCTGGTTGTTTTCAAGATTTTTCCTCATCTTTAGTTTTCAAGTGTTTAATCATGATGCCCCTTGCCATCATAACTTTTTTGGGTTTACCCTGTTAGGGGGTAGCCCAGCTTCTTGAATGTTCAGGTTCATGTCTTCCACCAAATTGGGAAGCTTTAAGATACTCTTTTCTTCCCTTGTGATGGTTCATGTCCTAAAAATTTATAAGTTGTTACAGTTTCTGAAAAGAAAGAAATCTAAATGATACTGAAAACATAAATCACTTTCGCCTAATCTTTTCCTTTCCATGTGTCAAATAACCCATATAGACTCTGCATCTCATGTAGGAGAGCAACTGCTTGTTAATAATTATACTGCAGTTAATTATAGACCAGAAAGTGGAATATTGACACTTCTAGGAAGATTAGAGACATGTCATTCAATATTTTAAATATTTTTAAAACGCAAAACGTGTTCCACAAATTTTAAAACACAAAACGTTGTTCTACAAATAAACTCTGTAAAGTCCAGGTTCTGACTGAACAAAAAGAGTAGTCATTTATAACATTTTCCCCACTGCAGAACTCCAGGCGCCTCCACAGAACTATTGAGACTTATGGGATTTTTGGAGCCCATTTTTCTGATGAGTAATATGAGCCTTGAAGAGAAGGACTTTATTGAAATCACATAGCTTGCCGCAAGGCATCATTGGTCAAGACAAAATGCCAATAAACATGCTTTCTGTGGGTGGTTTTCAGTAATTTCCTTCTCAGCAGCATCTAAACCTTCTATCCCCAGTAGAAAACAGCCAAAAATTGATGGAAGCTCCATGAAGATTTAATGTCATTCTGTGCTAAAATATTTTATAAATGGCGAATTACCTTCATTCATTCAATACCTATTCCTTAGCTTGTTCATTCACTCAGTAGGTACTGTGCATTTACACTGTATCAGGAATTATTTTAAGTGGTGGGAATAAACCAGTGTTTCCAAGGAGCTTCCATTCTTATGGAAGAAGAAGGGCAATAAACAAATAAGTACCTAACATGTCACATACATGTAAGTGCCAGAAAGGAAAATGAAACAAGGTGAGAGAGATGGAGAGCGTGGGGACTGCTGGTTCACGCAGGGCAGCTTCCCAGTGCGTTCTCTGACAAGGTGACTGAGGAACTTGAGGGAAATGAGAGAATGAGCCACACGAATACCTGGAGAAAGAATGTGCCGGGCAGAGGAAACAGATCCGAGTTCGTGAGGTGGGTGTGTATGCGATGAAAGACACAAAAAGGCCCCAAGACTGAGAGGAGCTGAGGGCAGGTCAGGTAACGAGAGAGGTCTTGAGTTTGAAATTATTTTTTAAACATTTTTATATAAATAGGTGAGAAAATATTGCCAATTTCCCAACTAGACCACCGATTTAAATAATTCAGAGTTCATCTAGCTTACTGAATCCTCTGGTTTCAGAACATCCTGATTTGACTATATTTGTATATTTATTGGCTGTGTCACTTGCTAGCCACGTTACCTACCAGGACAGATCAGCCCATTTCCTCATCTGTAAGGTTAATAGTGATGAGGTTAAGATGGGGTTAAAAATACCTGTGCTGTTCTCCACAGAAAACCCTGTAAGGGCCAACTGACTTACTGATTTACGAAACTATTTCAAAAACTACAAAATGGTTTGGGGTTATTATTCCACAGAAGAATGATGTGGGGCTTTATGGCAGGTTCTGAAAGATCTGATGGGTCACTTTGTGAGCAACGCTTCCCATAGTAATTACCAATCATTTCATTGTACATACCAGCTTTAGTGAAAATGCAGAATTCATGGTATGACTTTATTGGATGGCTACTTGGGATCTGAGCCAGAAGGGTCATTAAATCATATGTTTTGGAAACATGCATTAGTACAATTTAGAAATACATAGGTAACCGTCCTCATTATCCTTTCAAGGAAACACATCTGAGTCTTGTGTACTCAAATATAAAAAATCCGTGTTAAAAGAGGCTAGATAACGAGAACCAGCATTTGGCTTACTTTTGTATTTAAAATTTCATTTTAATTTAAAGTAGCATTTTTATTCCTGGAGGTATTGGAGATACGATTTGTTTTAGGACTGCTTCAGTGTAAAAGATTGCGTCATTTAATGAGAGGAAAAATTAGTATTCTTTATTTGACTGGGACTTGTTTGCATTAGAAATGAGATGTGAATAAGAGATATTTTACTTTATTTTGATTTATAGCAAGAAAATACTATGACAAAAAATAACATCAAAAAATAAAAAATTAAAAACTTTAAAGAAATATTTTAGGCAATATGAAGATTTGGCAGTAATACTAAAATGAAAATTAGAAATGCATTTAGGATAATCTAAAAATATTCAGCTAATGTTGACTATGGTGAACTATTATAATTTCACATAAAACAATTCAGTGTTTTAACAAAACATATCGAGTGCCAATAAGGCAGCTCTGTGGGAATGTACCTGTTTTCATTAATTTTGTTAACGAACATTAAGAACCTTCTTATGATTGGTTCTGAACAGTTTTAATACAAATTTTTGAAATTGGGTAAGGCATAGAGCTTTTGAAGGTTTGTGGGGTGTGCTGGGAGTGTTGAATCATCCTTCAACATGTAAAAATTTTCACAAGACTGCTTTATCAAAATGATTTCACTCATCTGTGGAGTATAAGAACAGAGCAAAAACTGAAGGAACAAAACAGCAGCAGATTCACAGAACCCAAGAATGGACTAGCAGTTACCAAAGGGAAAGGGACTGGGGAGGGTGGGTGGGAAGGGAGGGAGAAGGGGAATAGGGGGCATTACGATTAGCATATATAATGTAGTGGGTGGAGCACAGGGAAGGCAGTACAACACAGAGAAGACAAATAGTGACTCTATAGCATCTTACTCCGCTGATGGGCAGTGACTGTAATGGGGTATGTGGGGGGTACTTGATAATAGGAGGAGTCTAGTAACCATAATGTTGTTCATGTAATTATACATTAATGATAGCAAAATAAAAATAAATAAAAATAAATAATCAAATTTAGATTTTTTATAAACCAATTCGGTAGCCTTTGTCACCAGTTTCAAACATATATTTGCACTTGCAGGTAGACATAACTGACATTGAGAATGAGGAGACCCGCCATGCTCTCTTCATGGAACTCCTGGAATCCAGTCACCAGGAGGTGGAGTTTCAGCACCTGGTTTTGCTCTTGCAAGCTTGGCCGCCTGTGAAACATGAATATGTGTAAGTGTTGACATAAAATTCCTTTTCTTTGGTCTGGACTTTAGTTTCAAAAAGTCAATACCTTCAAAAGAGGCCATAAAAGAAGTATATCAAATCAGTATTAACCTGTAGTGGAAGTTAAAATTGTTTGTGAAATATTTCAGTTTCTTTTGTTTCTTCTTGCCCCTAACCGAAATATTTTACTCAGAAACATCAGACAATGCTTGATAATAACATCTGATTCTGGTGTCAACACAGTAATTCCATTGCAGTATTTTCAGCTGGACATCTTTTGGCTCTCTTTTAACACAGCTTACAATACTAACCTGAGATTCCGTATGGCTTGGGAACACAATGTTATGTGCAGTTTACATATATTATCAATTCACAGAACAAACCTACACAGGAAGGTGATGTTATCTAATCGTGTAGTTGAGGGAATTGAAGCTCAGAAGTTAAGTAACTTTAGTCATCACATTGCTGTTAAGTGGAAAAGGCAGAATTCTGACCAGCTACTGGCACCTTCAGAGCTCCTGTTTCCTGTACGTCATGCGGAGCTTGCAGCTGCCACTCATCGCTGCCTGGAGTAGCCCTACTATCCTTGTGCTGTCAGCCAGGGATCGCTGTGGAAGACATGGCCGGATTTCCTCTAAGCACATATGCCCTCTGTCATGAACTGCTGCTCCTTGTTGGCAAAAAATAGGAGAAGCTGTGCCTCTGTCCCACATGCTGCCTGCCCCCAGCTCTCATCTGGTCCTTCGCACACTCGGCCAGCACTTGCGCACAGCAGGCCGGGGCATGTCTCTGCACCTCCGAACTTAAAGCTGTTTTCCAGAAAATAAGTTGTTCTGTGAGCAGCTCAGGGCTGCTAAAGAATATCTGCAGAAGACTTTTTACCTTAACCCTGAGATGAGAATCTCTGAGACAAACCAAGGAGAGTGGTGTTTTTATTTTGTTTGCTTTTTAACCAAGTGTTTTCAGAAAGGAAAAAAAAAAAAAAA